AGTCCGTAGGATCCAATCACGATAGTAGACGAAGCGAGCTTTCGGGGTAGCGAGGATACGCTCGCGCGAAACGACGAATTGGGCACAGCATGGCTGAGCTAAAACATCGGGGATGGGATCGTCCGGGAAGATTTCACCCCACGACCTTGCCAGCATTGTCTCCTCCTGCTTTTGTTCGTTCTCCTCCAATGTTCCCGGATGCAACCAATCGGGGCAACCCGGTGCCCACGTACAGCGCAGGTTCATATACCCTTCTCTGACCACTCGCGCGGGATTGAGACGTTGCAACATTTCGGCCGCATTACCGCCGAAGATCTCGTCATTGTGCCAAGCAAACTGATGCGAATGCATAAAGGCGACAATGTCCGGCAGCTTGTCATAGTGATCAATGATGTAGCTCAGATACACTATAACCTCGTGCCCCTTATTCTTGGGTGGGTGAAGAGGTGCTGAGAGATCATCGACCACGTAGACGGCGGGTTGCCACTCTGGCAGTTCATATTGGATCCATTCGGTGTCTTCAAAGCCAGCTTGAGGCACCACCAAAGTTTTAGTATATGTCGATCCTGGAGGTTTAGGTACACCGGTAGTATACTGTGGTCGAGGTGCGTATGGTTCTCGTGAGGGCTGATCGTATACCCCACTAATGTTTGCATAACCATGCAGTGTTGGAGAAGGGGTTGGGACCAGATCGCCCAAGCCAACAGCCTGCGGCATATGCCGCCATTGTCGAGAGAGACTGCTGACCGTGTATAAGAAGACGACAAAGAAGGCGAGGCCGAGGAGGGGGACCGCGCGCCGTGAGAAAATCATGAGAAGCGAAGGTAAGGTCACGCGAGGTGGAATGAAAGATGGTATTTCACTACAAGCAATTCACAAAAAAGGACAGTAAGTATCTATGTATTTCCCATATACAATGAAACAAGAACTGCAACTGCCACGTTGGGGTTTCCTTTTTTTCCGAAGCGCATACGGGAGAACTCACAATCAATGTAGAAATAAAACAACACACATACAACTGTCGACCAATCTGTGCGCGAGAGCAGTGTTACCGTCTAAGCCTCCGCGGCCACAGGGGCCAAGTATGAAATAAGCGCAGCCACGTTTACGCAGCAAAAGAGCGAACAACAACTAAAGTGAAATAGAGGAGAATGACTCCGCCCTAAGAAAGACATTCATCAGGCCGAGAGTAGGTATCAGAGGGGTCAAGAACAGTGGTGGGACGGGAGAAGGGGGCGCGGGAGGCGGAGGTGTCGTCGTCAGCGTTGAAGAAGCCGATCCGAGACCTCTTTTTGTGGTTACATACAGGCTCCGGACTCATGAAATCATGACCAATGGGCCATATTGTGCCCGAACTTTATTCGGGTTGGAAACGAAAGAAAAGGGAGAAAAAGCTAAGAAAGTTAACGGTCCTCTTTTCGCCCCACTCGTAAGTGGAAAGAATTGATAAGTATTAGAATCAGAATAAGGAGAATGGAGAATGGCCTACCTACATACATACAGAGTTCTACTGTGATTGGAGGGTTGAGTGAATTGGCAAGCATTCTTATTTACCTAGTCCTATAGGGTATTTATTTTTTACACAGGCATTACATTACATGTTCATTCAACTCCTAACTATTACCAGTCCTCTCATGGAGATCCACAAATATATGGTAGATGGTATGAACTAATTAATAGATTTTGTTTCTCTCTAAATAAAAAATAAAAGTAAAATATTAAGCGAGGTCAAATGCTACCATCTCTTTGGTTAAACTAGGTAGACTACTATGTACATGTACCGAAGAGATCCATCCATCTTCAAAGGAGAAAATTGATCCTCCTCAACTCGCGTAGAATGGTGATGTTGAACCGGGTTCCAACATTACGAAAAGGCAACTAAATCGCCAGGCATGAGCCCCATCGCATAGAATTCGAACACACAGACAACCCGGGTATGATGTTTCTGCCTCGCTAAGAACGCCAATGAACGCTTATTTCCCAAGAATGATAACATAAAACATCTGCCAAATGGATAGTGGGGAGTAAAGTCTTGAAAGTGGAAGGAAAGAAGAGAAAGAAAGATTCAGGTCCCAGAGGCAAAGACAAGGTCATGTCTCATCATCAACAGCATCCTCTACCGTTACCATTCGTGATTTGCCCTTAGATGGTGATGACGATGAGCCGGCCGCTGTCACGCCATCATCTCCATGATGGATGTCCTCAGTATCTCCGACGGATGGAGAGTTGGAATTTTTAGGCTGTGTCTCTGTAGTCACCTCTGTCCATTGCTCGGACACTGGTTCGGTGTCATCAATCGTCGAGGTCGGAGTCATTGCCGGCCGCCAATTCGGCAGGCCTCGTGAACCAGAATCCACTTGTGCAGTAGGAGCCTGATCACCCCGGCTTTCATCCAGGGTATTCTCTGCTGGTGGGGACGTCTGGGATTCAGAGTTGCTATCAGATATCTGCGGTGGTGGGGCCCTCTCAGGTACCGTCGGAGTGGGAGTCACATTTGCAGGCTCACTCGACCCCTGTTCAGCTGAGTGGAGGGGAACAAGGGACCAGCCTTGGGGAAGGCTCAGGCCCTCTGGGAGTCGAGTATCACCAGCGGTCATGGCTTGTGCCATAGGATCCGAAACAAATTGCTGGCGTGCCGTTATTGTTGTGGATGACAATGGGATGGAGGGGATCTGAGATAGATTGTTCGGTAGATCCAAAGGGTTTATTTGGGGGCTCTGAAGACCCCGAAGCCGGTGAAGCTCAGTCTGTAACAATCGTACCACTTGGAGTTGGTCAGCGGTCACACGGAGATTACTGATTTCCTGCATAATCTGCTGTTCCATTTGCTGTAATTGACCTTGCATATCAGAAACGGCGGTAGGAGTCGGAGTAGTCTGCGTTGCTGCTGCTGCTGGTGGGCGCCCGAAGCCAAACCCGAACCCTATCTGCCTAGCCCCGGGATTGCCATTGTTTGCTGGCTGCATGGGAGCATTGCCTTGGTGAATTTGCTGGTGGAGATTGTGGAACAGATCCCCTCTGCCCGCACCAAAGCCAATCCGAAAGGGTCCAAATTGGTATACACGGGCCCGGGGTAAGCCATCAGCTGGCCCGTTCCTACCAGGAAGTTGATTCCCAGCAGGAATATTTTGAAATCCCCCGGCAACTTCGTTACCTTGCCCGCCATTCACTCCGGCGCCTGGATGGCCACGGTGACGAGGTGGCACTAGAACCGGACGTCGACAGGTGGGGCAGTTTTGCTGCCTCTCCAGCCAGCTTCGAAGACAGGCAAAATGCAAGATATGACCGCAAGGAAGTTTCTTTGGGCGTAATCTATCGGAAACCCGGGCTCTTGGCTGCCCAGCCCCCTCTGCAGGTTGTTGCCATTGTGTCATTTCCTCACGACAAATGATGCAAACTTCTTCCCGGGCGACCTCCTCGGCGGTTGCATCCGGATATCGCTCGTTCATGTCACGAGTTGCATTGCGATACCGAAGGAAATCCATGATTCTGCGACCAAAGGAGCGAATCGTCACTACTACGTCGCGTAGGATATGGATTGGCAACCCGTAGAAAGTAAAGAGGATGGCAAAGAATGCGAGGTACACTGTCAACTTGACGAAGTCGGTGAGCAAATCGAGGTAGAAAACCCATCGACCTTTTTCCTCCCACCCCGGCACATCAAGTTCCATTTCATTGATATCATTCTCATCGGGCAAGTTAGTGGGCGGGGAAGCTTCTCCAGCTTGCGCACTCTGGCGAATAGCCTCCTGCCTGGCAACTCGAATTTCCTGACGACGTTCCTCGACCTTGGCCTTCAACTGTTGATGGGTGATGTAGATCTCCACAAGAGAGATTGAGTACCTAGCGGCGGTCGAACTCGATAGGATGGTGAGGACAGCGAACTCGAACCCGAACATGACCATCATGTCAGGGCGTGCTTGCTCAAGAACAGTCCGGACGCAGTACCTCAGCATGAACGAATTGAACAGCACCGATAATAATAACGAAATTGCCAGCCGGGTATGAAACAACCGAGGGTTTGCTGGGGGTTGCTGTTCCAGAAATTCCACACGGCCTTCCCCAATCCAGCCCCAAACCTTACCAACGAGGAGGCACACAAACATGACCAGGAACCAACCACCCAACTCCCCCCGAAAAATCGTCATGGCAAGGCATGTTTCTGTGACAGCGAACCATGCCTTTTCATATAGCTGCTCGGTTTCAATGGGTCGCAAGGGGCCGTAGAGGAGACGCTGAAACCAGAAGAGGAGAAATCCGACCGCCAAAAGACATACATTTGTCAGTATCTGCAGTGCGTTAGAGGGTGTTTTAGAGGCGATCTTCAGGCGGAAAGATGATCCGAGTAGTATATGCGGCGATCACCTACCATGAGATTGGCACTGCTCTGAGACAGGTAAACGCAGGCAGAGTAAAAGTTGGCCCTCTGATGCAGCGCTTTTATGAAAACGCCCGTGGCGAGGGCCAGGGAGGCCTGTGGGGTTCAAAATGTCAGTTTGCCGTTCAATGCGGACCGAACCATACACGAGCAGCTTACCCCAGTATATGCGGCTAATCTCATGGCTGGAAGGAGACAGAAGCGGGCGAGAAGCCCGAGGTCCTTGACAAAAGCCGACGATTGGAGCGAATACCCAGGGTTGTCAAAGGGGCATCGACAAGAGTGACGTGGAAAGGAAGAGAGAGGTGGGTAAAGTACAAGTTCAGGCCAGCGATCGCGCGGGCGACGATGGAACCTATGTTCTGGACAGCTATACTTACTTCGTAATTGAACATCAGTCACCGCCCGCCCGGCCTTACGTCAGCGGGTATCGGTTAAGTTACTCTGGATTTAGTTGCACATCCGACCGTTTTTGAAGGCCTTTGTCGAAGCCCTTATCTATACAAGGGGCCCTGTTCTTGTTTCTAGGTAATTAACTAGTTGGTTGAATAGTCTTCAATCAGTATTGGGCGTCTAGTATTTAACAAATAGAAAAAAAAGACCTCATAAGAAAAAGAATTATTGATCGACCCAGGGATCGAACCTGGGATCCCTCGCGGACATATATAAAAGTCTGTAAAGCGAGTGCCTTAACCACTGGGCCAGTCGACCTTCTCTATACATCTAGCCATGAAGATTAAGTACTATCATGCTAGTTACATAATAAGCTACTAAAAGTATGGAAAACAACAATCTACACGGGCAACTCTCAAAAGGTAATTGAAGAAAGCACTCTCCGGTAGTTTTTGTAATAGCCAATATAATTGCAAGACCAAAGATATACCCAATAGACCAAGTCAAAAAAGACAAAAGAAAAAAGCAAAAATTGATGCTCATCCGGTTCGGATCGGAGATAATCCACTCTGAGTCAGGTGATGTTTAACTCTCTACCCCAGGCTGCTGACATCGTCTCACCCCAACAGTAGTTACGGAGTAGATGATCCTCTTTTCTTAGTGTATGTTTACCCGCATGATTCCCGAGACCTTGGGATAATCCTTCACAAACTCGCCCGGAACATGAACTGGAATTGGAGGGGGAAATTATGGCTTCACAACAAGCTTTATTTACCGCCAGTCGCACGCAGACACTAACCTACTTACTTGCCGTCTGCCCGTTCTCAATTGCCTTTCTAGTCTATATCAATTCCTCCATCTCGTTCGTGGTCACGGAGTTAATCGGATTGCACGGTGGCGAAGGAGATGCGGTTGGGACCTTAGGTTTTGCAGATGAACTGCTAGCGCTGGCCGCTTGCCCTCTGTGGGGGATGCTTTCAGACCGCATAGGTGTCCGCCATGTACGCTTCCGTTGAACTCTTGGAATTGCTAAGATCTAAAATTCTCATGTCCTTCTATACAGGTATGCGTTGCGGGTTATGGCATCATAGCCGTCGCACTGGTATTATTTGTTCAGGCTAAGAATATATATCCCCAACTTCTTCTGGGGAGGCTGTTATTCAGTATTGGCGGCTCTGCGGTCTCAACTATGGTGACGGCAGTTCTACCAACCGTGACGGGGAGGTCAAACGAACAGGGTCCCTCGGAGACGACCAACACGCAAACTGATTCCAACCACGGAGCATCACAATCTGATGCTGAAGTGAATACGCCTTCCTCCCGACTGGCAGGATTCGTAGGAATGTGTGCCGGTTGCGGTGCCCTTGTATCCCTCGTTATTTTCCTTCCACTTCCCGCCCAGTTCCAGAAAATGGGCTTATCACCGTCAGAGTCCATTCAGTATAGCTACTACGTAGTCGCTGCAATGGCTCTGGTGGTCAGTGTATTGTGCCTATTCGGCCTCCGGAACCTCCCCGGTGAAGAAGAAAAGACATGGAACTCACTCTGGTCTACCCAAAAAGAGGAGGACGACGACGACGATAACCAACCTTGTGCCGTTGGCGGCAAATTACGATTACCTTATCTAGACCAATTTGGCGCGGCCGTAGTTCTAGGCTTCCGCCACGGTGACATCTTCATCGGCTACATCGGAGGCCTCGTGGCACGCGCCTCGTCAGTCGGTATCTCACTGTTCATTCCTCTCTTCGTCAATCACTACTACCGGGTTCTGGGCGTTTGCAACGGCGGTCACAATGAAGGGCCCGGGACGAGCCCCGGAGACATAAAGCTGTCTTGCCCCGACGCATACAGACTGGCTTCAATCCTGACAGGCGTGTCTCAACTGGTAGCTCTAATCGCTGCCCCAGTGTTCGGGTACTTATCCGACAGGTCTCGACGACACCACTTACCTCTACTCTTCGCCTGCTTGGCCGGAGTAATCGGCTACATAACATTCCCGCTCCTCCCCACGCCCAAGTTCAACGGAGAGGGCGGAAGCCCCGCTGTATTCGCCATAATGGGTCTAATCGGCATCAGCCAGATCGGGGCCATCGTCTGCAGTCTAGCCGTGCTGAGCAACGGCATCCTGAGCATCTCTGGCGCCGAGATCGAAGCACACGCTGAACGCGATTCCAGCGAAGCCGACCGGCAGCCACTACTAGCAAGACCCAGGCAACAAAGACAAAAACGATTGACCCACCTGAAAGGATCAATAGCTGGCGTGTACTCCCTGTTTGGCGGAGTGGGTATCTTACTCCTTACTAAGTTGGGTGGTCTTCTCTTTGATGTTTTGTCTTCTGGTGCGCCTTTTTACATCATGGCTGGCTTCAATGGTGTATTGCTCCTGGCGGGCGTAATGGGCGGTCTTGTTAGTCGCTCGAAGAAAGTATCTTCTTCTAGGACTGCTTAGGGTTCTTTGATGGGCTGGTATTCGTATATTCCCTTTTTTTTTTTTTTTTTTTAGTCCCTCTCGGTTCTTCTGGCGTTAGGTCCAAAATATGCTTTGACACTTCCCATTTATCTTCACTACAACATCTTGCGACCGAAAAAAAAGCATATGCACGGTAACGCCTGAACCTGTAGGCACGCAGGGCCATATAAGTTAGATAGTATCTTATTTTACGTTTTGGGTAACCCGGTCAAAGAAGTAGCATGCCAGCCTCATGTCCTCAATTGCGTGGTAGTAGGTAGTACTCTGTCCAAGGATAGATTCTGATTCGTTGATCCTCATCCCCTTGATGATCTCCTTGAAGGCATCTTGACCGTGGGTGGTCCTGGGGTCTTGGGGTGAGGCTAGATGTCGGTTTGCAACTGACTGGCTATAGTAATTATATATTTAGGTAATACTACATAGTTTCATGAAGTCGGCCTAGGAGCATAGTATCATTTACCACCACGCTCCTGGGAAGCTTCAATCAACTACAACCACAGCTGGAGATTGCTATTGCTCGGGTAATTACCATGGGCTGTATGATGGGCCTGTTCTAGATAACAGGCCACTTCGGTTCGAGATGAAATGAAGGTTCATAAAATGTTTGATTTTCTACCATATATCCTAGTCATAATTCAGTTCATAGCTTGCTATCTCCGTGCGCAAGAATAATGTACGAACACTCAGTTATTGAAACATCCCCGGCGGTGGTCGAGTAAGCGTTGCTCCGGATCCAGGATTTCCCTGCTTGCGTTCATCGGGAAACGGGCGCACCTCCAGTCCGGCACGGATGATATTAGTTCGCAATAATCTCAAATGGGCCTCCTTAACGTAACTTGACAGGCTCTCTAATGTGGCCTCCTGCACTTCCGTCCGTAGATCGGTTTGGTTAGATACCAGGACCATCTTCTCCAGGTCAACGCGAGCGTCCAATGTCCCATCTTGAATAAGCCCGATCAATTCCTGTACGAAGGGGGACTTCGAGTCTATGGGGTGAGCCTGACCCCCGTCGGTGCGAGGAGCAAAGATCTTGGACATGGAATCAAGCGTTACACGGCTGAACGGAACGAGATACTGCTGGATAGATTTGGTTCGTATCCGAGTAACGAGTGTGCTGACGTGGCGTTGTAAATGGACGTCCAAGAGGTAATCAGTCTGATAAGATTCAAGGATCTCTAAACATGGACGAAACTTTGAGTTACAGAAGAAAGAGATGGCCCGACGGATGTGGGGTTCCAGCTCCAAGAAATTGCGGAATGAGTTATTGTCGAGCACGCGCCGCTGCAGCTCATTGCGATCCATAGAAGCCAGAGCGCAAAGTCCACCGTAGACGGCCACATCATTGGATGTGAGGACCTCGTTGTACGAGTCCCCAAGACTTGGATCGGTGCTCAAAAAGCTGCTGGCGGCCTCCAGGTATGCTCCAGAGTGCAACTGGGACAAACCCATGGCAGCCGACATTTTAGGTTGGTTCTTAGCCTGTTCTTCTTGTTTTGATTGTAGATTGCGTAGCCGCTGCACATGAGATTGGACACTGAGCCAGTCCCCGCGCTCGATGGCCACATTTATTATCTTAAACAGCATTGAGGCGATATGGCTCGGGGTCGTACAGTAGTCCCTCATGCGAGAATAAGCCTTAGAAGCCGAAACCAGATCACCAATTTGATGATAATGCTGTCCAAGATCTTCATTGCCCATCTGTGGTATTCGGTCAGAATCACTCTCGTAGTACTCTAAAATGCTCTCAGAGTGCTCACTCTTATACTCTCTTTAATCAGATTGTTCTTATACCCTCTCAGTTCATGCTCTAGTCGATCTGTCTCAGCCTTGACGACCTTCCGCGTACGTTCTGCCCACTCCTTGTCTAGCGTAGCTTCGGCCTCATTCGGTGCAACTTCAGCAAGTGCTCGGACTGCGCGTTCGTATCTGGATACATCTTTGCTCGACTTGGCCTCGACAATTGCAGTTTTCAGTGCCTCGGCTGAAAGATATGTGGAGCAAGTGCCTATTAGAAACAAGCGGTTGAACCGGGTCCGGCCTGGAAAGAGCGTTCTCATTAGTGAGATATTTCAGTTAGACCTCTCAGCAACATACCAGTATAATTTGCAATGTACGATTCCAATTCGAACTTGGGTGGATCTATAAGAAAATCAGTATACCTTTTCCGTTGAAAGTGCAGTTATATTCCTGCTGGACCAGGCGGAGAAATTGTACCATCAACCTTTACAAATGGCACCGTAGTAGCTGCGGGTTCGTTTATGCTCTCCAAGTCGGCATTTCCTATGCTAGAAACTTGTCCTCCATATGGACCCGTCGTCGAATGAGGGAAGAACGCATCCGGTGGCATGGATTCCATCGCACGTGTTGTCCGCGTATACGCTACACCGTTGGCAGATGAGTTGCTATGAGTAAGGGGTTGGCTCCAAGGATAGTCTAGTTAGACTGAAATGAGGAGAACAATAAAACGTCTCGACAGGTCACGAGCGGAGCGATATGCCGCAAGTTGAAGTGGAGTAGCTCTTTGTTGCTCAAGTGGCGTCGGTGTGGATCGCTGCAGAGGCTAAGCAGAGGACTAAAGCTTGGATACTTGTCGGGAAGGAGAGATATGAATATATGGAAGAGCAACAAAATCAAAAAATGCATTTGCGGGTGTAGAGATGTGGGGAGAGAGCGATGATCTATCAGATGGTGGTCATCATATTCAACAGCGTATTTATCTCCGCCTAAACATATTCACCGCCTTCGTGACCGCCCGCTACTTCACTTCAGTGTCAACTTACGCACTAACTATGCTCTGTTCATAAGAGGGTTGAAACATGGAAGTATTTAATGGCATTAGATCTTCCTG